CTGCCTGGCTGCCGGCCGCCATCTTGGCTGACAGTTAATTTGCATATCTCCCTGATTAGCCAATGGGAAGGGTAGCGGTCGTACACCAATTACCATGTTTCTCTTTTATTAGTGTAGATTTTGTTCTTTAAATTCCATTAAAACGATAGCTATAAAAGAAAAGATATCTTGCTTTCCAGCACTCTGAGCAAAGTGGGCTTCAATGTGTAGTCAAATGTTTTTGTGTTTGGTCCAGTTAAGGGACACACATCTGCTAGGAGCCAGGAGTGAGTATTGTAGCCGGACATTTTACTTTCCCAAATTTAAAGACTTTTCTCCATAAGTCCTTTAAATTCCATTAAAACGATAGCTATAAAAGAAAAGATATCTTGCTTTCCAGCACTCTGAGCAAAGTGGGCTTCAATGTGTAGTCAAATGTTTTTGTGTTTGGTCCAGTTAAGGGACACACATCTGCTAGGAGCCAGGAGTGAGTATTGTAGCCGGACATTTTACTTTCCCAAATTTAAAGACTTTTCTCCATAAGTCTCAGAGACGTGAGTGCCCTCCTCCCCTCCTTCCCTGGGCCATCCTGGAGCCACACACAGCGAAATCCTGGCCCTGCGAGACTTTGCTTCTTCAGCAGCCTTCTGAAGAGTTCAAGTCCCATTGGATTGCGGCCCTTTATTTACTGGCAGACTAACACACCAGCAGGGCCGACACATCCCAAGCCCCTGACAGCCGTGCAGAACAGCAGGAGGGGCTGGGTGTGCAGGGAGTTCCCTGCCCACTGCACAGGTGAGGTTCTGGGCACCTCCAGAGCTCAAGGTAAACGTGTCTGAAAGATTGCTGGGGTGGAGTGTGACGCTGTGCTTGCCTACCGTCTCCCGGAGATCACTTCAACTCTTTGGACCTCAGCCACACGCCTATAACATGATAACATAAGGTCCCACTGGATGGTCCTTGAGCCCCCTTTTAACTCTCGCCTTCAGTGCGCCCGAATCTGCTGTTTTTCTGAATGACCCCTCATTTAAGTCACATTGCGATAGTTCTGTGCAGCAGCAAATGAACGACCTATTAGCTGTACGTGTGCACAGCTTTCTTTCTTGGTTTCATTACTGAATGTTTTCTTCTTGTCTTCCTTTCAGAGGCAAGTAGAGTCCAGACCTGGGCCGGGAGAAGAAGGAGCCCTCTCAGATATTTTCTGTCGTTCCCATTACTTTTTGGATACAGTCCTCCATCCTAGCCAGACATATGGCACTTTCTCACTCCACTCACACAAACCTCCCCATGGAGCCACCCATGGTTTCCTCAGCTCTCTCTCAACTTCCTGCCTCTGTGACTTTACTCCTACCATCCTCCCTCCCAACATTGCCCCTCTTCTCCTTTGTCCCTCCTGGACTGGCCACTTGGGTCCACCACGCTCCCTCTCTCCTGAGCAATCACAGCGCCCACAGTGACAGTTCTACTTGGTAGAGGACTGTCTCATTCTGCCTCGTTTCCTCTCTTGAGGGAGAAAACATCATTTTAGGGACCCTTGAGTCTCTCAGAGTCCTTGCAACATGCCTTGGACAGAGTGCTCTGTAAATGTTCGTTGGTTGGTTTTATAGTAGGTGCTCAATGAAATATATATACCACCTTACAAAGAATTTTACATACCTCAACTCAGCAGGTGCTCACAACAACTTGTAAGAGAAATCTTAGTTCATTTCCAGTTTTCTTAGTTCATTTCAAAAGTGAGATGACTCGCTCAGGGTAAAACAGATCTTCTGTGGCCCCTCCGTATGTGCTTTGGTGAAGACCTTGAGCCTGGGAATCTGACATTCAGACTGGGCTTTCCCATTTAAGAGACCTTGGGACCTTCCTTATTCTCTTGGAGCCTCGATTTGCTCATCTGTGGATTGGGGATAATAACAGTACCTATCTCATAGGGTGTTTGTGTTAATGGTGTCATGCATGTGTCTAGCAGATGGTTAAAGCTAAATATGCATTAGTTACAACATTATTATCATTACTTTGATACATCAAACTGCTTTCCTGTAAACAGACTTGTTGACTATAATTTTATAGTCTGCCACACAGTGGACACTCAGCAAATATTTGAATATGTGGACTAAAGGATCATTTAGTTTTTATCCTAGATTTTTCCCTAAATCATTTTTCCAACTGCAATCAGGGCATCATCTCAGGGATCAACAACCTTATTCTGTCCTTATAGCCCACCCCTCCCATTCCACACTGCCCTCCCCCTCAGACCCAGCGGACGCAGCAGAGCCAGGAACCCAGGGAGATGGCAGCCACAAGAGGAGACCGGGGTTTGCTTCTGGCCGGAACTGGCTGGGAGCTGGGCAGCTTTGGCCGTTACTTACCATGCCCACGAATCAGCTGCCAAAACCCCAGGCTGGTGGTGAGGTGGTTTGTAAACGAGAAAAAAAAGAGCTGCTGAGTAGGCCCACTTCCAGGGCTGGCGGAGCCCCAGCTTCACAGTTTACAAGAGGAGGTCCATGGCTCCTTTCTCGGGGGAAGTAAGTGACAGAGACACAGGCGTGTGGGCCAATGGAGAGTCAGGTTAGAGGCAACGTCCTCAGGCATGTCCCCAATGGGAAGCAGTTTTGCTTTCCCTTCGTCTCTCAGGCACTGGACCAACCACTCACTGGGAAAACAAGTGCTGGTGCCAGAGCCTCCTGTGGATTCCAGGCCGCCTTTGCAGAGACAGGTACTGGGATCCTCCTGCTCACGGCTCCCTCCGGGCTCACGCTGTACACACTCAGGGAGCGTGGGTGTGTGTCTTAAAGGGATCAGGTGACCTGACTCACAGGTCTCGGGGCCAGGCTGTACCCACCTTGCTGGCTCACATTTCTGCTCCCTGGCAGCTGGTTATTCTTAGCCACGGATTACTTTCCTTCTCAATCGATTAGAACTGTTTTGGGAAAGTTGCTGGGCAGGGAGGATGTAGTGAAGCAGGAAAGGCAGTAAGGGAATAGGTGGCTGCCTTCTACCTCTG